CCCTGTAACCTTTCAGCGGGCACTTTCACAAATGCATTCATTTGGCTATTAACGCGGTGTAACTGGACCCCCGTCTCCTTAGCAGACAAAACTGTGATCTCAGCTGGGGTGGAATGAAGAGGCAGCTCTGAGTGTTGACAGATACTCAGAAATATAATTCTCTTTCCACCTGGTCCCCATCTTCACCCACCTGAGTCCTCCAAGGCCAGGTCAATGCCGCCTCCTCCGGGATGCCGTGCCTCCCAGATGTGTGCCCTCTGTCCTTTGCACCCTACAGCCCTCTGGCATCTCTCATACACTCCTTGTGGACAGAGCTCAGGCCCCCATTTAATAGGCTACTCCTTCAAGTCTGGGACCCTGGTGATGCATCAGGGCGGAGCAGGTGGGTAGGGATTTTCTGCTGCACCCTTTACTTAGGGGATTGCTTGGTAAATGGCTACATGTTCCTGCACTCAACTCCTTGACCCCTAATGTATCTGGTAGAGTAGCAGATGCCAAGGCTTTGTGAATAAGTAGAACAAACAGTCTGGGGAGGAAGACAAACGAACAATGCATATGACAGGAAGCTGAGACAGAGAAAGCTTCTCCAAGAAATGCAGCCATATTTCATTAAATCTAAAATGCTGTGGTTTCTGAGACACGTCGTTTTCTCACATACCACTAAGGAAGAAAATTCTGCCAACTAAATTAAGACATAACATTTTTCCCTTAGAATTTTTACCTCTACTTATTAAAAAGACTCCTTGAACTCATGTAGATGTGGTTATTTTTCTGTGCCTCACTTTTGTACATGCATTGAAGGGAACATAGGCACAATAAATTGAGGTGTTTCTAAACGTCACTTCAGCATCTGATCCTTCTGAGTCACTTTTCAGCTCAGTTCATCAGTGTTCGTGTGCGATCACACCGCCTCCCTCACCGTGCCTTCCAGGGCAGTGGTGATGCGGACTGCTGTCTCTGGGGTTTTCATCTGTGCTGCTGATACCCCTCCTGCTGGTTCTGATCTTGTCACTTTCTTCCTCTTGCCGGTGCAATGTGTCTTAGACAACCTGGGCTCATGTTTCTTCAAGTGGGGCTTAAATGGTTTGTTAACAGTGAACAGTCAGGAGTCTCCGTTCTCAGATCTTGCCTTCAGGAATAACAACCAAGGGTATTCACTGTAGGCAGTGACAACAAGGATAAGACAAGATCAATTGTCAGACCCACGCCAATTTCAGAGATGAAAAAAATCTATGTCTTGTAATTGATGAAAATCATTTCCAAGAAGTCTAGGAGTAGGGGGGTAAGGTATAGTTCAGTGGTAGAGAGCGTGCTTAGCATGCATGAGATCCTGGCTTCAATCCCTGGTACCTTCACTAAAAATAAATAAGTTAGTGAATTAAATAAATTACCCTCCCCCAAAAAAGTCTAGGAGTGGATGGGCACTGTCAGTATTCCAGTGACTCGGTGCTGTCAAGTCTCCGAGCAGCTACCTCCCTGAGTCTCCTTGTCAAAAGATGGCAGTTCCCACACTCAAAGGAGACAGCAGGCTGCAGGGTCACATCTTCTTTTGCCTTCTGCATATCAGAGAGAGGGAACATCTTTCCTGAAAATCCCTTAGCAGGCTTCCCTTTACCTCCCAGTGGCTAGAACTGCATCGCATGGCCGTTCATAGCTATGAGGGACTGTGGGAGATCTGTATTTTCTCACCATTTCGACAGTGGGTTTGGGAATGGCTTTTGGATGGTCAGATACCAGTTTATCCCCCTGTGGTCAAATACATTTGGGTTATGCTGAGTTATACAACCCGAAACACTAAGGCTTCTCAAAGCTTTTAATACAGTAATGTGGCTCATTGAGTTATGGAATAAGCTTTTAAGCTTTTCCAAACTTCGGGAATCCAAATTTATTCTCCCAAAATAAGGAACCCAGTTTTGCAGAATACCAGACAACAACTCTTGGTTGTTCCCAGAGTAACAAAACGAGCTCTCAGAGCAGAGCTGAAGTGGCAGGTGGAACAAGGCTTGTGGGAAGTGAATGGAGATGAGGGTTTTTTTTGGGGGGACTTAAAAAAAGAAATTCCTTATTTTATTTATTTATTTTTAATTGAAGTATTGTCAGTTGCAACATGTCAATTTCTGGTTTGCTGCCATAAAAAATAAAAGGATGTCATTTGCAGCAACATGGATAGACATGGAGATGAGGCTTTGAGTGGAGACTGAGCGGGGCTGAGAGGTTTACAAACGAGAGCGCCATATTGATTTGAACCATCTCACGCTGTTTTGATGGATACGGGCTGATTTATTTTCAAGAGCCTGTACCCCTGCTGCCGTGATTTCTTCTGAGATAGGACTAGACTGATACTGAGCTATTATTATTCCCTTCCCTTCCTGACCTCTGCCACTTCCAGTCTTCATGATGCTAGTGATGCTGGAGCTGGGCTGCTGGCTTCCGTGGGTGGAACTGAGTGCTCTGCTGCGCAGGACGCGGGTGTGCGCAGTTCCTGCTTCTTTCTCCCAGATACGCTGCTGAGGCTTTGTAAGAGCCGGCAGACACAGTGGTGGAGTTAGCCCCTGACCATTTACCTGGGCTGGGATCATGAAGCCCCTCCTGGCTTCTTTGGCCAGAAACGATCTTTCTATTTTTTTTTTTTAATTTCAGCAGCAACTTGTGTGTCTGAGCCACAGTACCTCATCATCTTAGTTGACATTTGTGGGACATGTATACGCACTGGGCTTTGTAACGGGTATCTTGCAGCAGCCTCTCACTTCCTCCCCCCACCATCCTGCCACGTGGGTGCGGTTCTGCAGATGCGAGCAGTGAGGTGGAGAGAGGTTGAGGTCATCCAGCTGTTAGTGATGGGACTGGGATTTGAATCCAGGTCTGACTCTACATCTCCGTTTCTTTCCGGGATGGCAATTCTGGGTGGTTATTTGTCCATTTGTCTTTTTACATTTTGTCAGATGTCAAGCTGTGTTTTCGGTATTTTTCCTAATATAGCCAGCACAGGGTCTTGTCCATGGAAGGTCCTTGCTAAATCATTGTCAAACAGATAAATGAATAAACAGAAGGATGAATGCAAGAGCGAATCTGTGAGTGGTTTTCCTGAATGTTAACCTAGTGTTGATTACTTCATTATAATTATCAGAATATTTGCTCCCTCTTCTCAGAATCAGTGTTTGTTCCTTGGTCATCTCATTTCGTCTAAGTTCTAGATGTCATCTTAAGTGTTTCTGAGTGAAATAATCACAGATCATTGGCTGATGGATTTAGAGGGGATTATACTGGGCAGCTGGTCCTGCCCTCATCTTTTTGGCAAAGAGCACCCAGCTGTTATGTCTAGAAGGTGAAGCCTCAAACCCCTTGCCAACCCTCGTTCCAGAGCAGTATCTGACGCAACCAGCATGATTTCTGCCTTTTTCACATAATGCTCTTCAAACACCCCTTTGCCTGGATTTAGAATTCTAATTGCATATATATATATTTTTTTGATGATTATTTAAACAATTTTCTTTTTGTTGTTGTTAGCTTCCTTGAGATATGTTTTTCTTTTATACTTTGGGTGGGTTGAGAACTTATCTTTTTCCTATTTTCATGCACCTTTGTTTCATTCTGGTGTTTCTTCTAAACCTGTCTGCAGGCTCCTTTGTTTTCCCCTCTCCCGTCTAATGAACTCATCCTGCACTTGCTGAATCTTTTGCTAAAGTTATTTCAGTGAATTGCTGTGCTTTGTTGGCTCATGTTCATTACTTTTTTTTTTTTAATTAAATGAAAAACATCTCCAAACCCTTCTACCCTCTGTGAAAGCCTCTTGCTAAGCTGTCATGGCCCTTGTTTGGTTCGTCAGTCCCACCGCCAGCCCGGAGCTCTTGCCAGCTGCCCTCGCTGATGTTGTGCTGATTTGCTGGTTCTGTTCTGTCTGTTGTGCCTGTTGTCCCCAAGTCCTCTGCCCCTCTAGGACTCCTGTTTCCTTCATTATCCCAATAAGACACCTGCATCCCCATGCTTGCATCCTGGGTACCTATGGGAAGTCTGCACACCCTCAACTGTGAAGATGCCCGGGTTTTATCCTTTTGCCTGGTGTTTAATTGCCTTTCGCCTCTTGCTCCAAATCCCGCCCCAGTTCTCAACAACGCAGTCTCCTATGAGCCCCTTCCCCCTCGGGTTCCCTTCTTACCCAAACACATCTCCCTGTCCAGCCCCCGAGGCACACCTAGAGCAACGCGGTCATCCCTGAGCCTCCGTGATGGTCCTGCTCACTCTCCAACGCAGATTCTGTCATCTAGACAGCGGGGAGCTTGCCTTTCATAAGTATGATGGATTGATCTTGCTTTCCTAAACAAAAGAACAGTTTCCCCTTGAGACGAATTCGTGGCTCTCTGAATATGAAATGGTTACACTCAGCAGGGTGTTTTGTGTTTTTTAATATCGTTTTTCCCCTTCCTGATTCATTACCTTTGGGGTATGTTATGACGCTCCAATGCGACAGTGGAAGAAAATGTGGCGCGTGAACAGATAAAAGAAATTGCTGTTGTCACCCATTTAAAAAATAGTGTCTGCATTTTATTTCCTTTGAGAAGAGTAAGGACTGAGCACAGAGATGGTTAAGTTCTGATATTCTGACCAGACTCGTGTGTCCTGGGAACAGAGAAACATGTCGCTCTGCAAGGATTTTGATTTGTGTGAAAGCCGGAGAAGCAGCAGACCAGCCTTGGAGAGCGGGAGCGGCAGGCAGCAGTCATTCCTTGGCCCTGGGCCTGGCCGAGGCTCTAGTTTATCATGGAGAGGAAGGAGCCGGGAGCCAGAGGAGCAGTTACTGAGCCCACGGGAGGCTCTAGAATGTTCCAAGCCTTGACCCCTTCAGTGCTGCCAGCAAGCACACCGGGCAGCTGCCCCCCGCAGAACCCTTCCACGTCTTGATCTCCACTTTGCTGGCTGTCAGAGTTCCCTCTGCCCCCTACAACTGCCCCCGGTCTGTGGGCCAGACCTCTGACATGTGCGTCCCCCTGTGTTGTGTCCAGGGACAGGGTGCCTTATCGGAGAGACTCCGGAGCTTCAGCATGCAGGACCTCACCACCATCAGGGGAGACGGCACCCCTGCTCCCCCGGGCCCCCCACCCCCAGGGCCCGGGCGGGCCAGCGGCAAACACGGCCAGCCTAAGATGTCCAGGAGTGCTTCTGAGAGCGCTGGCAGCTCAGGTAGGTGTCACTTCCCTTCCCCTCTTTTCCACCTCATAGGCTTTGCTTTCGTTGAGAGAGGCCCAGGCCACCCTGTGGCCCTTGCCCCAAGGACTTGCCACCAACAGCCATCCAGACCATGCCAGGCCGGCCAAGGGGCAGAGCGCCACTCAGGCCAGGCCAGGAAGCTGGCCTGGGGGACTCGGATCAGGGGCAGGGTTCAGTCACCTGCACCGAAGGGTCCTGCCTCCTCCATCTGAATGTCTGCGGGGCTCGGGAGTGGCTGGGTGGTGATACATGGCCCAAGCCTAGAGGTGACAGGCACAGCTGGACCTGGGCCAAGGCAACTTTATCTGTTTTCTTCCTCCCTGAGCCCACATTCGCTGGAGGGATTCTCTGTTTTGAGCACCTGAGTGTCTCCTCCCACCCAGGGCTTATGGCTCCCGCGGCCCCTTTTCCCTGCATGGTATTTCCTGTCCTCTCTCTCACTCTGCCATCTCCTCCCATCCCTGAGCCCCCCCCCCCATGCACCATGCACACCCTCAGCCACCACGTGCCAGGGGCCACATGAACTCTGAGTCTAATTCCGGTGGCGGCCAGGGCTTCATGGAAACCACACCTCTGCCTTGATGTCTGCCCCTGGGAGAGGGCTACCTGAGCTGGGACAGACCTGGGATCTTATTAAACATGCGGGCTCCTGGGCCTGCCCCGGGGGGACTCAGTAGGTGAGACTCAGATGTGTGATGCCGTCAAAGTGCAGCCACCTTGGGGACCCACTGACGCCTGATCCTTCGGTGGGTTTCAGCCTTTTGGCAGGTAGGGGCATGGATTAGGGGGGTAGGGAGCTGGCCCAGGGCTCGTGGTTTCCCAGACCGTTCCTTGGGGAGATTACAGAGACCTTGGCTCTCAGGATGGGAAAGGGGCTGTAGGGGACGGTTCTGGACCACCACCTCCACCCCTCACCTGCAGTAGGAAATTGAGCCTAAGGATGGGAATTAGGCCACTGTTGGAATCTCTGGCTGTGATGTGTAGCAGGTGGCTAACCTGCCCTTAAATATATAAATAGGGACGTCCAAGCCACATAGACCTTGACTGTGTGCTGTGAGGTGCAGCCTGCAGGGGGCACCTCCGTCCTGAGCCCTGGGTCCTTCCAGACCCCGCCTGATTTTGAGGGTCTGAGACATGGATGGAATAGAAGGAGCCCCATGGCTGCTGTGGGGATGACAATGCATGCTCCCTGCCAGGGAAAGGAGAATGGCTCAGAGCCAGGCGCAGTGTCCTCCAGCTTCCTCCCCTCTCCAGAATGTCCCCCTGACTTGCGGCCCCAGGATTGCAGACTGTGGCTTTTCTGTTGGGAAGGAGATATTTTAACCCTGGCAGGGCTGGGAGGTGGAGGCTGGGCCACGGGCTAAGGTCCACCTCAGGTAGGGGTTATCTCCTGAGGGACCCCCACCCTGTGCTGGGGAAACTGAGGAGGGAATCCCAAAAGGCCAGGAGCAAGGGACCTTGAGGCTCACTCAGTCTAACCCCCTGGCTTTACCAATGAAGAGACGAAGGCCCAGGGAAGAAAGCTGTCACCAGGGTCACCCGATGGTGGCATTCTCCGGTGGCCTCCTGACTGCTGGGCCAGCGCATTCTGTTCACTCACCCACTGACCATCAGGTTTTCTGGAACATCTACAGCTCTGACCTACTGGGCACTGTCCCAGAAATAGGGATGTGAAATGGAGTTAGATCTCGCCTCCACCCTTGGTCAGCTTAGTGGATACTTAGTCCCGGAAGAGAGCTGTCCTTGGAAGGAAAAAGGGCCCCCATTCTGCCAGACTCAGTGGGGAGAGCTAGAACCCATGGGGTAGAGCCCCAAGAGGGTAGCGGCTTACTAGCTGTGTGACCTGGGCAAGCTGGTTGTCCTCTCTGCGCCTCAGATTGCTTATCTGAACACAAGGAATGGCAAGTCCCATTTGTAGGGTTGTCGTGAGGATTCAAATGAAATAACCCATGTGAAGGCGTGTAGGGTCATGCCCGGCACTCTGTGTGGTAGCTCCTACTGTTGGTGTCTCACTCACCTATGGAAGTGCTTTATGATTCGAACGTATCCAGGAGAGAAATTGGCTGCCTTGTGAGGTACTAAGGTCCCTGACATTGGAAGGGCCCCTACCAAAGTTGAATAGTCAGGTACCAAGCTCTAGCCAGGGGTTCCTGCCTTGGCTGGGAAGTGGGCCTGGGTGCTCCTACAGTCCGTTTCCCTCTGAGAGTCTATGTTGCCATTATAGAGGTGAACCAAGTAGAGGAAGTGGGCTCAGAGAGGTCATGCTCTGTGCCAAGGCCACACAGGACCGGGATCCAGGCTTCCTGCCTAGACCTCCCCTTGGCGGATTATTCATGGCAGCTTCAGAAGTGATAGAGAGGTCCAATGGGATCTAAAAGGCGAGGAATATTACTCAGCCATAAAAAAGCATGAAATTTTGCCATGTGCAACAACGTGGAGGGACCTGGACTCATTATGCTCAGTGAAATGAGTCAGACAGAGAAAGGCAATACTGTATGTTTTCACTTAAATGTGGAATCTAAAAAATAAGACAAATGAACAGATGTAACAAAGCAGAAACAGACTCATAGACACAGAGAACGGATCAGTGGTTGCCAGAGGGGAGGGGGATGGGGTGAGGGGCAAAATGGGTGAAGAGTATTAAGAGCTACAAACTACTATATGTAAAATGGATAAGTCACAAGGATGTAACGCACAGGAGTACAGCCAGGGTTATTTACAATTACTTATATGGAGTATGGTCTGTACAGATATTGAATTACTATGCTGTACACCTAAAACTAATATAATATTGCAAGTCAAGTATATTTTGATTTAAAAAAAAAAAAGCAATGGGAGGCATTCCCTGGGCTTTGACCATCTTCCCAGACGAGCACTGGACAGAAACGGATTCGGGCTGGTTTGTTTTGGATCTGGCCCCGCCGCCCGCCCTCCGCTGCGCCCTGGGAGGCAGCGGCAGCTCGCTGGCGGCCGTCCTGCAGGCCGGGTGGGGGCAGCTCGCGGAGGCCAGAACTGCGACGTGACCCGCTCTCCCCACTGCCCGCCCTCGGCCGTGGCACGCTCTCCCCACTGCCCGCCCTCGGCCGTGGCACCTGTGATTTCAGGGGGTGGGGAAGGCAGGTGCTGACCCAGCTGGGAGGGTGGGGAGAACTGGCCCTCCCCTCCGGCTGTTCTGGGCCTAAAATAAAAGTCATCTCAGAACGAAAGACAGGTGAAAGATGGCCCAGGGCCTGGGCGTGGGGCAGAAGCACTCAGATCAGAGGCTCAAGGGCTGTCTTACCCTGGAGGTGGAGAGTCGGGTTGCCAAGGAGGAGCTTTGCCAAAGGAGGCCCGGCTCGCGTGCCCTCCCCTACCCCAGCGTGGGCCTTGGACCCCAGGCGTGGTCTGTAGGGGACAGAGCCCCGAGTCTGGGCTTCCACCCCGCCTGGCTGACACTGGGCCTGCGCAGAGACAGCAAATGCAATGCAGTGAGGCAGACGTCCCTGAAGCAGCCACCACACTTGTTCCCACTGGGCCTGGATTCAGCCTCAGAACCTCCTCAGAACGATGCCTCGGGCAGTGCCACCAGAGGATTTGACCTTGGCACGGGAAACGAGCCCAGGCCACCTCCGCTTTTTCCTCTGAAGAAAAGGCACAGTAATCCCCATTCAGCCTGCGTCTCAGGGCTGTGAGGCGAGCAGTCAAGGTCGTCTGCCAGCCCTGGGCAGGTGGCAGGTGTTGAGGGCAGGCTGGGAGAGGACAGGTGAGAGGCAGTGGCTGCCCACCCTGGGGTCATATGCAGCCAGTTGGAAGCAAGTTTCAGTGACCATATCGGTTGAGTTTGAAAGCATGATGCCTGGTACAAACATGTACAAAACCGAATAGGATATCATGTAGCAACTTATGTAAAATAAAAATCTAAGCCCATTGTGTAAAATAACACTGTACAATTTGCAAGAAGACATCACCCTCCCTGCAGAATGGACTGGGAGGTATGTTGTCAGACACCATTCATTGAAAGCCTGGCATTGAATCCCAGGAAGGGTACAAAGGGAGTTGAAAGAATGATCCTTGCCTTCCATGAACTCGGAGACAGTCAGCATGTATTTAGAGAGCGCCTACTGTATACCAAGGCCCAGATGTGCACTGAGACCAATGGAGTGTGTGAGGCAGCCTCCAACTGGGCCTTTGACCAAATGGCAAGACATTAAGCACTTTGGGGGTTCAGAGGTCAGCCCGAGAAGGTTTCCTGCAGGTCATTCTGACCTGGGAGACAGAGAGAGGCGGGGCATCTGGGCAGGCGCAGTTGGAGTTGTTCCTCGGGGGACACTTTGACTTCGTCCCCTGCCTTCTCTCGGGCTGCGGGACACAAGGACTGACATCTTGGGCCAGGCAAGGGCATTTTGTAGCACCTGAGAGGAAGCTGAATCTGGAATGATCCCTTCCCCACCTTGGTGTCTCTACAGAGACCCACATTCCTGGGACCCCTAAATTGAACAGACTGGGATCCCCACACCTCCCTGGGGCCTCCCTGTTTGTCTGGGGCTGGTTCCTGTCCAGTGGGGGATGTCACTGATGGTGCCCCCGTCCCCACAGTGTGTACCTGCTGCTCCACCTGCAGGACCCGGAAAGGTGAGTAAATAGCCAGCTTGTCTGCAGTGCGCTGGACTCGCCTTGGGAGAGGCTCTAGCCAGGAGCTGGTGCCCGGCCTTGGGGCTCCCTTTCAGCTGCAGGGTCTAGGGCTGGAGTCAGGAGGTTATCTCCTTAAAACAGCGGACATGTATTATCGTACAGTGACTACAGGCTGGAAATTCAGGAGTGGCTTAACCAGGTGGTTCTGGCTTAGGGGCTTTCAGGGATTGTGGTCAGGATGTCGGCCAGGGCTGCGGTCACCTGAAGGCTTGACTGCAGATGGCTCTCTTGGGGCTGTTGGCTGGTAGCCTCAGGTCCTCACCACAGGAGCCTGCTGGAGCATCCTTACGACACGGCAGCTG